CTCACACTTGAAAAATAATGAATGAATAAGAGTTGTAACTATATTGTAATTTATTTGTAAAACAGCTCCATGTATAAAAAAGTGACCTGACGAAGCATTGGGGAAAACAGAATATGTACCTAGGAAATCTGTTGTCGCATGGCAGTTGCCTGGGAGCAGCACTGCATGACGCAAAATAAAGGAACAAAAGAAGAAGCAAGTTTGTGGACTGTAATTGGAATAGAATCAGTTTTTTCATAGTGAATGTTGGTGAGGTGCAACCTTTGGTTAGTCATTGTGGTCCCTTTGTGGCTTGAACAGTCACTGTAGTGGCTGAAAGAGACTGATTCTTGATCACTTTCTTTGGTCCTGGGTTTATGTGCTCCTTGCGTTTATTTCTTCAGGAAAAATATGAAGAGGCGATACATGGAACTATACAATCTCAACAAAGATTTGCTGTCTGAGTATAAAATCCGTTGCACCAATCACACAGAGTTCTTAAATAATCTTAAGGCAATAAACCAGGCTATCCAAAGAGCAGGACGCCTGCGAGGTATGTGCTTGGGGAACTTGGGACAGGATCGACTTTTGTTGTGTATGTTCTTATCCTGCTTATGGGCGAGAGGAAAACTGAAGAAGTGAGCATTAGTTAACTGCACTAGCTTTGAAAGGCACAGGTGTGCACAACTCAAGTGTGTGTGTGGGGGGGCTTGCCTTGGAAGATGCCTGAATGTCAGAACTGTTTGAGGGGTTCTGCTGAGCCATGATACACCTTTGTGTTCAAAGAGTTTCCAATGCTCTTCCAACACAGGTATGTTTCTTGGTCTTTTAAAAGTAATGTGAGAAGCTCTCTCTCCATAAAGAGGAGGGCTGTGATGGTAGTATCTGAAAAGGGGGTGTAACTGTTTGCTAGGTCAACTGAAGGGAGTCACTGGCTTTCTTTTTAGGGGGTGAACTGAGCATCAAGTTGAGAGTTTAAGAGGAGGAGGAGCATTCTCATGGTCTCTTCTCTCTCTGAATCAAAAATACAAGCTCTGGGATGAAGGATTTTGAGGGACTAGAGAATCTCCTTCCTGTCAGTACAGATTGATTCATCAAGTCTGGTGTAACCTTTACCAGATGAGGAAGTACTGTGGGAGGGTGTCTAGTTTGGAGGTAAAATGCTGTTTGAAGAAGCTTGTGACTATTTTATACTATCCACACAAGAACTAGTTCAAAGAGTTGTACATTCCTGGAAGGCACAGGAGATGAGGAGCCTCGCGTTCTCCCTGTTTGGTGTAATTGGGGCAACTTTCCCTGCCACTGTATTCCATGCAGACTCCAGGCATTGACCTGCATCCTCGGCCTGGTTTGAGATATTCTGGGCCATGGCTGTTAGCACTATGCTGCAGTCCCTTCTCCCATCCTCCCCAAGGATGGCATTGGGCAATGGAAATTCATTGCAAAAATTGTACAGCAAATGAGTATTTGAGTTAGTAAGAGCACAGGCTACTCCTTAGCTATGTAGGAGGAAACAGCTAGTATTGACCTCTGCTCTTGGATAAATTCCCTTAAAACAAGGAGTTTTTAAAAACCTTACAATTATTCTCAGGAAAACCATCTAATCAATCCGTAATAAACAATTGCATCATAAGTATTGTGTAAACTAGACCTGTACTGCAGAAGCTAGAAAACTGGGTTATGGGGATTCTTTGGTTTTATGAATAGATTCTCCATTGTGAAATGTAAAACTGGATTTTTCAGATGTCGTGGATTAAAGAAAATCCAGACTCTAATATACAGAAGCTACTCCCAGATGCACGCATCTTTGTTGCTTCAGGGTTTTTAATTACTTTTCCATCTTAAATGTGACTGTGTGTTAGAAAAGAGTTGTTTAGGAGTGTGCCCATTAGTGCATGGGGGTGGGAAGGAGACCATTCATATACGCCAGTTGAAAATTGGCATGAAATATTAGGAAAGGATGCATGTACATGTGTGCATTATACACTCTCCAATATTATTCTTATCCACTGTAAAAAGATAGAACTTGCCCTAGCGGGGGTGGTGGTGGACTAACATCCTGTGGTTCTCATGATCACATCTGTATTTCATTATGCTTTGAAGGAATTTCCTTTCCAAAATACCTCAGCGCGCAGTAACCACAAAGAGCTTCTTCTTGAGGGTAGGATGGGGAATCTGGGGTCACAAAGGATTGTGCAGATTCCTCATGACTTCCATTTTGGTCTTTCCCCTTAAGGTTGAAAGGTAGATTTCCCTTGTAACATATGCAACCTGTAATGCAAGTTCTTTCTTTCTTCCCCCAGTTGGTAAACCCAAGATGCAAGTGATTGCGGCTTGTCGGGATGCTATCAAGAATGACAACATCAATATGCTGTTCAGGATCATGCGTGTAGGAACAGCCTCGTCCTGATCGGAATGGAGGGTGAAGCTGAATGTGTTTGGATGATCTTGGCAATAGGCCACCGAGTCAGGGACACGGGCAGATAGCGGCAGGCTGAGGGTTGCTTATCCTGTCAGATCAGCCCCAGCAAATGCTTGGTAAGCAGAACCCTTCCTCAGAGTAGGATGAGCAGGTATCTGGTATGTTGTAATGGCAAGGGGCAATGGCTCTTTTCCTCTAAGGGACATGGAGGTACTGAGCACACAAATGGTGAAGGAGAAGGGATTTTATTAAGTAGTCTACAGAAGAATCAGCATAAGAAAATAGTACACTTATGCCTCTTCAACTATCAGGAGACCCTGGAGAATGACAGCAGAGTCACCCTGTGGAACTGGCTGGCTGCATAGCACTGTTTCCATCTGTGCTGTGGCTCAGTTCCAGGGGGTACATCTTTTGTTCTCTAGGGGTTCCTGACAGCTGAAGAGACATAAGCATATTCTTTTCTTGCACCGATTCTTCTGTAGCTGAGGTTTTCTTCTGTAGACTACCTAATAAAATCTACTCTCCATCACCATTTGTACATTCATTGCCTCCATATCCCTCAGACGAAAAGAACCATTGCTCCTTAAGGCACGTGGTTAGTTTTCTATACAAAGCAGATGGCTTGTTCTGTTGTAGGGGTCTGAGAAAGGAGAAACATCAAGATCCTTCTGTAGTAATATTGCACTATTTTTTTAGAGGTTCTAAAAGGCTTAGAAGCCCACCGGAAAGGCCCAGAATCTAAAAGAGAAGTGCAGAGCAGTAACAGCTCACCTGCTTAAAGCCATGTACAGTCTTTCTATTTTCAAAGTCACTGGCATTTTACAATAATTTGGATTTTCAATAAAACAAGACAGACCTCAGCTTCTCCCTCTCATTTGTGCTTTGCAAACAGCAAACAGTATGAGGAACCATTGATGCTGCTTCTCTATATGACTCTCCACAGTGGCTTCATTTGTATCATCTCTGATCGATGCTTAGCAGTTTCACTGCTGCCTTATCTAAACCCCCAAAACTTTTAAATGTATCTGATCCAAACATGCATCAGAAACCTTTTGAGTCGACTGGCCTGTCTGAGATGCAGCTTCATTTTTGCTGACTTCTTTTGGAGGCTGTGAAATCCCTTTTTACTCTACAGCAAGGGATAGCCTGTCTATTGGGATTTAGTTTGAGAGCAACTGTAGTACATTAACTAGTGGGTCTGACCACAGGGGGACCCCTGTTCAAATTCCCACCAAACAGTTAAGTGTACTGGATGACCCTGGGTCAGTCGCACCCGTCAGCCCAGTCTACCTTACAGGACTGGTGTAGAGATAAGAAGGGAGATCCTTGTATGCCACTGAGCTTTGTAGAAGAAGAGTGTGATAAAACATGATTGATAACTGTAGCTGGGCTGAGCCAGGGTACGGTCTGGACCCAGATAGCCAGAAGCTAAGCAGGATCAGCCCTCATTAGTATTTGGCCTCCTACATGGAGGCAGGCAATGGCGTCTGAATGTCTCTTGCTTTGAAAACCGTATGGGGTTGCCATAAGTCAGCTGTGACTTGACAGCAGAAATAAAACAAAACCCGTCTGAAGGAGAAGCAACACAGCTTAGACACCACGTAGCCTTACCCTATACTATTGGTGGGTAACAGCTACGCTGCATGGAACAATACTGTTCAAACTGTTGGTCTTGAGTCCCTCCCAGATAGTGACACATAACCACAGACTTTTAGATACACATCACTTCAAAGCATCAGTGTTGAACAGAGGGAGAAACAGTAAAATAATGCTACACGCATTCCTTTTGATGTGAATGTGCTGTATATTAGACAGATGAAGGATCTATGGCTAGGCCATCTAATCTTCAGTGGTGGCTGTTTAGCACCCCACACACAACTGCTTGTCCTGTGAAACCCGTGTGGCACTGCACTAAAGCCCTGAGCCTGATAATTTTTTTAGCCAGTTGTTGCTTAACTGTTTTACAAGCAAAAGTCCCAAGGGGAAAAGTATGTTACTACTGCATGCCAGCTGAATCCATCTTCTTTCTGTTGAGGTTAGCACAGATCTGTTGTAGAAAAACACTAGAAAGAAACCATTCTTGGGCTGCGGTCACACGGAGCATTAGCCATGCTACAGAGACGGAAGACAGGCGGATTTTCTGGGCGCGATCACACAGCCACATCTGGGAAGCGTAGAGCTCCCGTGGCTCACTCAAGGCTTCCCGCCAAAGATCCGGGGCAAAAAAACTAGTACCTCTGAGGTACTAGTTTCCGGAAACCGCAGGGCAAGGGCGGGCGTCTGATCGCGTTTCCGGTGGCATCCGGCACCCGCCCATGTCCCGTCGCAAACAGGTCATTTCCCCCCCCAGGTCTCCACGGATGCGCACAAGCACCCAACGGAGCATGCACACACTTCAGTTTAAAAAAGTAAAAAAACAACAACCAACAACACCATTTGCTGCGCCGCCCTGTTTCTTTGCCTGTCATGTGATTGGCACCTCGCCCCTAGCCACAGGACCTCGACGGGACCTCAAACGGATGTCTGATCGCGCAGTCACGTGTTAATTTGCCCCGGGGCAAACAGCCATGCTCCCCCCCCCCCGCATTTTCCAGCCCGTGTGACTGGGGCCTTGGAGTATTTTAACCAGAGCAGTTCCTTCTCCATTCATGAAGGAAGATGCTCCAGGACAGAAACCATTTCCCTCCATCCTTCTTTCATGGCTTTCCCTAGGATATTCAGATGCAAGCCTGATCTGAAGCCGGGCAAGAACTAGGGAGCCTGCAGCCAAAGTTGATTTAGTAGTACATACAGTTTGGACACTGTGGGTTGTTTGCCGAAGGCCACAGAATTAACAGGAGAACAGAAGAAAGGGAAGATTGTGTAAGAGCCTAGACACTTCTTTCAACTTGTAGCAGAAGCTACTGCCACTGTTTTCTCTTCAGCAGGGGGTCCAGTCCAAAACACAAGTTTTCTTCTTCTGAAGGATGACCCTTTACTATCAGTTATTCATAGTAAACAAAGCAGAAATCCCAGAATCCAGTTGTCTCAGCTTGTGTTGCTGTCTGGTTCAAGCTGCGGTGGTTGATGTATTTCACGAATTTCAGTGTGTCTTGGTCTCTGTAAACCAGAGCTAAACAGTTGTTCTCTGGGTTCACAGTCAGCAGCTTTAGGAGAGAACACAATGGGAATGGTTAATAAAGCAAAAGTTAGTTTTATTTTTACAGGGCAGGGTTTGGGATATATCAGTATCAGGAAAAGAAGAAGGTGAATGTCTTGAGCATCCCTGAGCCCATTTCTGGGCTATAATAAAATCCAGATTCTTCAAGGAAGCATGCAAATTTGACATCTCTTCACTTAGTCACAATAAGCAACTGGTTATGCAGTTCTCTGATATTTCTGGAAGACGAACTCTTCATTACCCTGCTACCAATGCTCCCTTTAAGCTGTGGAGTCTTGTGAGCAAAAATTCAACTTTGTGAGCTACTGGCATTAAAGTTGTAAGCGAACGATCTGGCTACTGCATAAATCAGTATGCTTTGGAGCCATTCTTTCTGTGTGAAGACAAAAATGTGTGAGCCGGAAGGTAAAAAACTGTAAGCTAGTTCACACTAACTCAGCTTAGAGGGAACACCGCCTGCTACCCCAACCAAACTAAGGAACGTGCTCAAGTCACAGGCTTGAATGAAACAAGCCTGAAAACCAGCTGGCTGTCCCCTCCACCTTACCTCTTCATCTTCGTCTTTTGCAATGTACGAAGTGAAGCCGCCCCACTCCACATCCCAACCTTGAAAGAGGAGAAATCAGCATCATTTGAAATAGTCACAGCGTACAGAACAACTGCAACCCCCCCCCCAATACTATTTGGATTAAAGTGAAGCACAAGAAGAAAGCTACCTGTTAAGCAAGCATATTCACTGGCTTTAGATTTATATCCTGCCAGTTTGACTGAAGAGCCCTCGCGGAGGCTAACATAGAGGACAAGGTCAAGGGCTGCAATTCTAGGGGAGCAATAATGCTGTTTCAGTGCTTCTTGCCCCTCAACCCAGATGGAGGCAGGCAGTGCTTCAGCATAGTGATGGGTGGTGGTTCTTAAAGTTCTCTAGAAACTAACTTCCCAGTGCAATCTGCACACACATGCAAAAAATCCTTTTCTAAAACTGCACTGTTTCATAAAGTAAATGTAGTGAGTCGATAAGTTATCAAGTCAAGTTGGACTATTAAATTTAACTCAATTCATTTAACTCGGCTGAAATAGTGAGTAGTGAGTGCATACCAATTATTACGTTAAATGCCTTAGTTTCTTGCTGTAATTTCAGCAATATAAGAAAAGTGTATGCTACTGAATTATTGTGTCTGCAGAAACAACCCACAGAACATGGGTGCCTAGGGATGCTTACCTGTGCTTTGGGTTGTGCAATGCAGCATCCCAGGAGTATGCTCTCTGGAAGTACAACCACTCGGGGAATTGAGGACTAGAACATCCAAATCCTGCACAATCAGTTTCTGCGTGGCTGGAGCCCATGGATCTGTTAACAGCTGTGCTTTCCCCTAGCACAGAGCCTCTTGCATCAGAGGAAAAACCCCTTATGCCGGTGTTACCCTAAGTGGTTGTGAGGGTCTCCTGAGTATGTTAGGGAATTAGTAAGGAGACCCAAACAATACAAGAGGAGGGAAATCAAGCAGGATCTATACCTATGTATACCAGGATTTTCCCCTCACAGTAGGACTCTCAAAATGAACCAGGCTGTAATTAATGAAATGGTTTTTATTAAAAGGAATTGGAGAATAAAATCAAAGCTTACTAACTGAAGAGCACTCTAAAAACAAACATTCAAGTTCAGAAAATAAAGGTTGTAGCTTATAGAGACAGAGAAGGGAACTTATTTTATGGAACTGTATTTACCTATCCACGGAACAGAGATCCCGGGAGAAGGATGAGCGAAACAAACCAGTTTCTCATTCAAGGAAGGAAGCGTACCTAGCCTTACATTGGGGATGTAAGTTAGTGGACGTCCAAACTCACACACATTGTCTACTGAACAGAGTGTTGCTGGATATACCCCTTGGAACATGACGTGATGGCTATAGTGAAACAATGTGTCTGAGCAAGGAAGCTTCATAATGTTCCCAGGAACTGCAAATGCAATGTAACATTTATGTGAAAATGTCTATTGTGTGGTGACCTCTAACTGCCAGGACAAGAAAACTATTATAAGAAATGTTATGGGATTACAATTATTTCTGCTAGGGATCCAGGCATAACACCGGGGGGGGGGGGGGATCCACAGGATCCAGCCCAATACTTCATCCAATCTCATCCAATCGTTTGAGACAGCTAAAAGCACCCCCTCCCCCAACTGACCTTCACATCCACAGAAGAGCAGCAGATCCAAGGCAAACTCTGTAGTCTGGGCATCATGGACTAGGGAGTAGCAGCCTTTGGTCCAGCGTCTCAGCTCTCCAGCACACTGAGGGATGCTTGAGCCTGACAGAGAGGAAAAAACCCCCTCAAGCTTATGCTTTTCATCCAGTGCTGGTTATATGAAGAGACAGGCAAAGAATAACTCTGTCTTCTTAAGACGATTTTGCAACATTGTGCTACATATGGCACCTTAGGCAGAATTTGGGTTGTACATGACAAGAACAGAAGATGTAGTCATTATGGGGAAATATTTAAAGAACCAACCAAAATTGATACCTAATCATTTTGTGTGCCATTGTTTTCATGCTAAGATATGAGTTGATGGGCGTGGCAGTGGTAAAACAGTACTTGGCCTAGGTCAGTGAGATGCCCTGGATCAGGTTTGCAAATTTGAGAAGCTTTCTTCCTTCATAAGAGAACGTGCAACCAGCCTTTCTTTCAGTGAAAGCCATACTCTGCACTAGATTTCGGATTCAATTATTCTGAATATGCAATATGCAGCTAAGGGTGTGCGCTCAGTATATACCGAGCCAAATAAATACCTGAAAAATACCTTATCGGGGCTTGGGGGGTATTTATTCAGCTGAATCAGATTAGAGAATCTGATTCAGCTACCAAAATAGCCATGCCCAAATAAAAGCCTATATTATTTGGCTTTTATTTGGGTGCAGCCAAGTTGTGCCTTCTGAACTCCATTACGGTATAATGGAGCCAAATGAGTTCGAGTTTCCAGAATACCCAAATTCTAATACAATATTCCAGAATACCAATATTTTGGGGTGCAATAGACCTGAATTAGAAAAATACCAAATTTTTTTTGCACACCCCTATATGCAACCCTGTTGTCGCTTTCAGGATGCCAGTTTCACGCAGCTATTCTGTTCTCAAGAGAACTGCTGCCTGTGATGAATGAGGCACAGCTGCTGTCGGCTTCAAACATCTCACTTTGGACATACTATTAATGGGGTCACACTGGAAAAAAAAGCATCACACTGACTGGATCGGGATGCTTTTCATACCATTTTTGCACCCATTGTTCTCAGAGTTTCCCCATGGCTCTCCTGCACCATTATGCTTCTTGGTTTCCTCTTGACTGCTCTCCCCTTGTGAGCAGCTGGAAAGATCTCCTCCTGCAGCTGCTGCATCTTTTTCTTCCTCCTCCTCCTCAGGAGCTAGGAAATGCAGCTTCAAGCCTGTGAAGTTTGAAAGAAGCAGGAAGAAGGCCTCTGAGCGGAACAGCTCCATGCATTCCTTCAAAATGGCTGGCAGGCTCTCCTCTTCTGCTTTGTCATAAAACCTGGAAGACAGGAAGCGTTGCTAACAGGGCCCATTGCGTGTTCTCTCCCTCTCTCCAAAACAAATGATGCAAATTCTGCACTAAAGTAACCCAAATTACACGCAGAAATTGTTAGGCAAGCACAGCATTTATCATCTGCGTAATTTAGTCTACTTCCCGGACACAGTATTTGTGATTTTGTGTGGGATGATATGCGCAAAAGTCTTATCTATGCATTCTTACAAGCCACTAAGAGGCTCTGGATGGTGCCCATAAATTAGCACGAATTTCACAGCCAACCCCTAAGGTGGGTTACACAGAGAGAAAATCAGCCACCTGGTGAGATTTGTGGTTGAGCAGGGACTTGAGTTCATTTCCTGCACCTAAAGGAAAAAGTACACACTGTGTGGTGAAACAGGTGATCTACACATTATAGGAGAGACTATGACTCAGGGATGCTGTTTCCAGCTGCTGTGGTACACGTGCAACACGTAGGGCTGTCCCCCAAGGCCAACGATCGATCCACAATACCACAGTGGCTTTCAATTTAAGACCAGTAACAATCCGGTAGGTACACGAAGCAACACAGGGTTTCTTATTTGCTTCATTTATACCCCACCTTTCTCCCCAGTGAGGACCAAAAGTGGCTTACATTATTCTCTCCTCCATTTTATCCTCACAACAACCACCCGATCAGATAGGTTAGGCGGAGAGAGTGTGAGTGACCCAAGGTCACCCAGCAAGCTTCCGTGGCAGAGTGGGGAAGGCTGGGTCTCCCGGATCCTGGTCTGACATATGCTCACAGCTGTGCCACGCTGGTACTCTAAGCTCCTTGGAAGTCCCGCTCAACCCTCTCTGCTGGCTGAGAACTCAAGAAGCAGGGCTCACACATTATACAATTGTAAGCGTTAGCAACGTGTTTTTTTAAAAAGCTTAAAAAAAAAATCCTTACAGCCAAATTCTTGGCTAGATACTCAAACCAATACTTGTGGTTCTCAATCCTTGCAAGCCAATTTCATGCAGCACAGAGACTGCTGAAATAAGTTATGCTGATGACCTCCAGGGAGCGCAACACAGTCCTACCTTTTGTTAGGGGGCCCCCTGCTGTTCCATTTGGGTTCTCCCTTCTTCAGAGCCTCACAGACCAGCTGGAATTTGTCTCCCTAGGAACCAAGCACAGCAGAAGAGCCCGGGTTTTCCTCCAAGGAGTACTACTCACTTGGCCAGAACCCCCCGGCTTCAGTTCTACAATTTGGGGCTCATTCCTGCCTCCCAGACTGCTGTCTCCTTGACATTACCAATGCCAAGGACCTTTGGCCAGGGGAAGGAGCTCCCCACGAGAAACTGAATTTTCCTTTCCAGTCTATAACATCGTGAGGGAACAAAATCACTGTGTGAGATTTTGCATTAGGTGCTGCTTTCAAAAATACGCTAACCGGCTTTAGGGTTCCACCAAGTAACAAGCCAGTTCTGCTTTGTCAACGACGTCACCTTGACACAGACTTGTGATCGAATGGCAAGTGTTTGCTTGGTTATAAAAAATGCACATCCAATCTACTTCTGGTATCTCTGATGTCTTCCATCAGTTGGCTAATTAAATCTCTGCCTCTACCGACTAATTCTTATCGAAGTGTACACGGAACCAAGACCAGCAAATATCAACACCCAAGTACTAACCACTGCCAACCTTGCTTAGTGCCCTGGCCCTGATGAGCCAGGGCCAAACTGGGCTGATCAGGCTGCTAAGAAGATTAATGCCAGGATTTAAAAATAAAAGGAAAGGAATGTGAGGTTTTAAAAGAGTAATATAGATTAAAATAAAGGCTCCAAGATAGCAAAACCTGTTGGGTATATAAAAGCCCTGATGGCGAATGTTTTGCAAACTCTACTACAGACCCCCCCCACTCTTAAAAAAATGGGAATGCTGCTCCCAGTCTCCATTATGCAGAACTGCCGACTCAGTCAGCGCTGCTGTCCGATCAGAATGGCGCTTCTGAGACTCACCATGAGAAAATCCTTCAGCAAGATCTCAGACCGATCCTCAAACTCCTCTTGGACTTGGCTCTGAGAATCCATCTCCAGATACACTGGATTGATCCAGCGATACAAGATTTCATGCTATGGAAAAAACAAAGAGGTGGGAAGGAAAGGAGAGAAAAAAAGGAGCCCAATAAATGTTTCCATAATGGCATTAAACAAGGAATTAAAGGGCCCTCCAGCCCTCAGCCAGAATCCCCTCAAGGCCCTCTCTGGTGCTGGCATTTGCACTGTTCTTGAATGCCACCATGTTGATATCCTGTTCCCTGCTCCAATGGCCATCTGCCCCAGTTGATTTTCTCTTGCAATTCCAAAGAGTTAGCCATATTCTTCTGTTGGACTGTGTTATCCTTCCTAGTGAATTCTAGTCCAGCAGTTTCACACTAAAGTTCTCCTTTAAATTTCTTTTGTTAAAAATGGTGACTTGCAGGAGATCTGACATTACCCAATTAGAATTCAATCGCTGTGATGTGTTTTTCTCCCACCATGCGTATTAAATTAGCTTAGCAACTCCAGAAAGACTGCTGTAAATGGTCACTGCCTTTTAAAAACAAACTTGATTTTGTAACACATAAGAGTTACAATAAACAATGTAATACAGCATGAAAGTAGGAATTTCAACTCTTCAGTCAAATATAACTAGTGTTGCTTAACATATATTATTTACATCACAGAATTACAACATTTTCATTAGCTTACATGAAGACTTAAGACCATTTAATATCTTTCAGGGCATGTGTCAAATCTCTTATCTGAGACATGTGTTAAAAAGATTGAAACAGTTTTTCCGTATAGTTACTTATACAAGAAAAACTTTTTGTGCCTTTAATTTATGAAGTTATTTTCAGTGCAATCCTAAATCAAGTTACAACCCTTCTAAGCCCATCAACTTCAGTGGACTTACAACAGTATAAATCTGCTTAGAATTGCACTGTCAGTCAGTTGTGGACTTTTAGGCTTTGTACAGAAAAGTCACAGTCTATACAACTTGTATTTCATTGCCTTCTGATCCCCCATAATCCCTCCCCCCTTTTATGCCAATGTATCCCTCTGTTAACTGGGGCACACTGATGTGGGCTCTACTCTCACACAAACAACCTTTATTGGCATAACAAGGTAGGATACAACAAAACACCTGAGCGAGATTGGAGGGAAAAATAAAAAACAGTCTAGAGAAATTCTCCAAAACAAGAGGCGTAGCAGAAACTAAGTACAGTTGGATCTTAACTAAGAAGAGTAGGCACGTAATCTTCCCCTATCTAGCACTTTTACCACTTTTGGTTTCTATCTCTTTTGCTGCTAGGGCCAGGAACTCCGCCACCCGTTTGGTGACTGAGGAGCGTTTGTCGGCTAACAAAGGTTCTATCCATTTATTCAACATAAGATTGGGGGCTGAGGCTCTAGTCCACAAAAGCCTATGCCATAATGACCTGCTAGTCTCAAAGGTGCCACAAGACTCCTTTTGGGTGCGGTCAGACGGCGTGCTGGGAGCGGTTTAAATTGCTCTGGCCCTAATGCAGGTTTTTTTAACCTGGAGAATCGTGATCACACTCACCTCCTTGCTCTGTATCGCTGCGCAGCCACATCACTCCCCGCCGTCCACAGGCGGGAGCGTGCATCAGTGTTGTTTTTCTCTCTCTCTCAGTTTGGGCATGCGCACAGGCAGCCATCTGTAGAACTAAAATTTTCGCGTGTGCGCAGGACAGCGATTTCCATTTCAACCCGACTACTGTAACACTTCCCTTTAAACTTTAAAGGAACGCTTCCCTTTAAACATTAACCCAAAAATGGCCTCCGTGAGATCCCGAACTCATCTAAATGCTAAAACTAGGCACCGTTTAAACATTGTTTTTAATAACGCAGTGGTGGAGCTCCGCCTATGCGCACACCGCCAATGCTTAAAAAAAATGGCGGGCGAAAAGTGGAAGCCTCGGGCAGCTTTTGAGCGGGGAGCGGGTTTAAACCGGAAGTGGCTCAACACTGGAGGAGCAATCACACAGGGGGAAAATGCAGCTGGAAATGGAGAATCAGGAAAACACCACTTGGGGACCTGGTAACAAAATACTCCTGTTTAAAGGGGATTTGAGCCGGAAAGCGACGGCTGGGAGGCAGATGTTGACTGTATGATTGCGTGTATAAAATCCGTTTCTAAACTGGCACGACACCAGATCAAATGGCGCGTCTGAACGCACCCTTTGAGTCGTCGTCCCCCATCGCAAGCAGATCATAACAGGTCCTACTGCAGGAGGAATGGGTGGATTCAGACAAAGCTTTCCCTTCCAATGAATCAATTAAGTGGCAAGAGTACTTGATTGTCTGACTCCATCTGTGGAAGTCAGAATACCTGGAAAGGGAGCAGGATTTGCTTACATCAAAAGGGATGTGGGGACTCCGTGGCAGGAGTGGCTCGACGTGGCGTGGTGGCCTAGCAACCGAAGGGCCGTGAAACCAGCCGCTCACAGACAACCGACACTTGTCCTTGGAAAGGACTTCAGCCACCTGGAGTGGAAGGAAATCAAAAAGTAGTTAGCATTTACTTCTCCAACAGGGGAGCTAAGTCAAGGTCTTAAAGAGGCCCGAGACCTCCTCTACCAATTTGGAGTTTGGCCCTGTCTCATTTTGAAGACTGAGCCAGGACATAACATATGGAAACTAGGTAAAACACGAAACTGAAACTACTCTATCAGTGATCATACACCCAAACAAAGAAGAACATGAGTGGCCAACAGCTGTGCACATAAAGCCCACCATAATCATGCATAGACCGGTCCTAGGTGGCTTGGAGTTACAGCAGTTCCTTGAGAAACCTTAACTCTGATGTCCCCAAACATCTCTGTTTCAAGCAGAAAGAACAAGCCAGGAAGGCATGCCTGAGATCCTCAACAGCAAAACCCACAATGGTTTACGAAGAAGGCATGGCCCTGGGTCAGCCTTTCCTGCTATCTGGGAGATTGTGGCTCAGTGGTAGAGCACCAGCTTTGCATGCAGAAGGTCTCAGGTTCAAGCCCCAGCAGCTCCTCTTTAAAAGATAGAAGATATTGGTTGCATGTTACTCTGCTATAACAAAATAAGGCAAAAGTCCCGTGGCACCTTAGAGACTGACATTTATTTCAATACGAGCTTCTGTTAAGTTGAAGCTCACTTCCTTGGATGTGTGTAGGGCAATTAAACTGGGAATTCTGCTTAAGGAGATGGTTACAAGGTGTGGAGGGGGAGAAAGGGTTGAAAGAGAGGTAGGGAGTGAATTCTTCATGAGTCTGTTCTAGCCACAATCCAGGTCTAGTCATTTACACTTGAAAGACTCATGGCGGAATTCACATCCAACCTGTCTCAACCCCTCCTGCCATGTAAACTTAAGTAGAACACCCAGTTTGATTTCCTTCCACATATTTGAGGACGTGAGCTGCGACTTATAAGAACTCATGTAAATATTGTTAGTCCTTAACATGCCACTGGAGTTCTGTTTTATTTAGCAGCTATTGGGAAAAGATGTTTGGGAAAGAAGTCTGAGATCGTAGAGAACAACTGCCAATCAAAGGAGGCTATATAAAGCTACATGGACTAATGGTCGGGGGCTTAGTATAAGCCAGTGGTTCCCATCCTTTTTGAGGCTGCAGGCATGGTGGGCACAGTGACAAAATGGCGGCTACAGGAGGCAGAACCAGCCACAAAACAATTGCTGCAGCTTAACGTCAGTCACACAGTGAAGATCCTTATGCTATGGTGGCAGCTGTTGCCAAAGCAACACTTTAACAAATGCACTGCCAATCAGATCCCCAATAGCCAATCAGAAGCCTTGCTGTCCAAAAACACTACCTGGCCCCTCCCACTACCTAAGAACACTTGGCAGGATCCAGAAAAAGTGTTGGCAGCCGCCACATTGGGGACCCCTGGTATAAGGCAACTTCATGTAACAGTCTGGAAAATCAGAGGGGAAGCAGGAACAGCAATATGGCTGCATGTGGGCAGGAACAAAAGAGCCCTCTTGCCTGGTGGAAAGAGACTGGTGACACTTCAAAGAAGGCTAGTGAGTTCCACAAAGGGACCAATGACTTGATGATCTGCTGAGGCTGAAAGTGATCTGGCAGGAGAGAAAAATGACAAAAAAAGCAAACTCTGAATAGTTGAACCCATTACTCCAATCCCTGTTTTTCCTGCTACCACCTCCAGACCACAAAGCTGGCAAAGGATTTGCATTCTTCAAACAGATTTCACCTACTGCTTCTGCAGACCAGTTGCTTGCATTTCTACAAGTCTTCCTTTGCATCCACCCAATGAAAATGTGTAAGTCAAGAAGGGGTGGGATTCAGCTCTGCTATGACACCACATCCTTGACCCATAAGCCATCCCCACTGGGATATACAGGAGCCGATTGGATATACTCAGCACTGAGTGTGCATGTGCTAGTTTGCAGAAAAACTTAAGAGAGACCCACCTATCTGAACTTCTAGAGTCTTTAAACATACTGAAACCCTTTACATTGTCAGGATGCAGGCTCAGGGACTAAGGCAGAAGTCCCAGCTGTTACCCAAGTCCTCTTTTAACTCGAGATGGTAGAACCCCAGGACTCTACCACCATCCACAGTACTCTACCACCAAGCTCTCCCTTATTCTACTTGCACAATCAAGCCGAGATTTAACTCGGAATAACAGAATAGCCAATATCAAAACATGGAAAAAATCCCAGGTGAGTCATTACAGGTTTAACAGTGCAATCCTAAACAGAGTTACACCCTTCTAAGCCTACTGACTTCAGTAGACTTCAAAAGGCTGTGACTCAATTTAGGACTGCACTGTAAGCAGTTTCCTCCGGCTTTTAAAACCTCAGTGGCTGCAGTGTCTTGGGACACTCTTACTTCTGATGACTCAGGGTTCCGTATCTGTGTGACTGCAGGTGTAGGCCTGAATTGGGGAGAAATCACACAGGTTTTGTGTCCTTGGCAGAGACTGCCCATGCTACGTAAGCTATCAAAATGCAGAGACAACGAGACAGTAAAGGCAGGAACATAACAGGTTGCACTTTGCAGGGATTCTTTTACTGAAACTTGTAGCCTGCTGGCTCTGAGCGCACAACAGGCTTGCAATGCCCCACCTACCATCTGTACTGAACAGGTCCAGAGTGCCCCCATCACTCCTGTCCCACGGCGGCACAAGGTAGAGGATGAAGGCAATTCGTCGCCCCTCCAGTTCATCGTCATGACAGAGCAGGGCATCTGCAACAGCATACAATTCAGCTGAGACTGCCAAGCATGCCTGATAAAGACCACCAAGCTCCAGAGTTTTGTTTCAGACTCGGCAGGACCACACTGCCTCGCTCCTACTTGCTCCCCTCTTACTGTCACTGGAGATAGTCCAGAAGAGGGCAACCAAAATGATTAGGGGGCTGGAGCACCTTCCCTATGAGAAAAGGCTGAAGAGTCTGGGGCTTTTCAGTTTAGAAAAGAGATGACTAAGGGGGGACATGATAGAGGTTTATAAAACGATGCATGGGGGGCAGAGAGAGTTGACAGAGAGAATTTTTTCTCCCTCTCTCTTAAACATTTTTTTTAAAGGGACAATTTACTTTGCTTTGATAATTATTGAAGGTTAAAGGACATTAAAAAGAGTGATAAAGGGGTAAGAACAAAAAATGGAGGGATAAGTTAGGGGGAGGGGAAGAGAGGAGGGTAGGATGTATAATTATATAAGTTTTGATCTATATTTGATGTTGTTTAATATATCCTAATAAATTATTTTCAAAAAAATATATTTTTATAAAAATTTGTTTTAAAATAATCATTAACAACAATGAACATCAAAAGCATTAAACAAGCAACGACGAGAGATAAGGATCAAGTAGCCTCAAAAGTCTATTATGTAACAGTAAAAACTATTTTTAACATTTTTGAACATTTATCAACCAATAATGAAGAGTATGAAGTGCTGGTAATTATGCCACCTCTGTCAGAAAAGCGAGTGTGAGGACTAGATTAGAACTGGATCTTAGATGCAGAAGACTTTTGTATGTATCTCAGAGTGTACAATAGAGAGCTAGAAGAAAAGCCAAGAAGAGTAAGTAGTATTAGTGGGAAGAAGTTCAGCTTCTGTCATTTACTGCAGCCATGGAAACCATGTCCGTACAAACCTAGAGTAGGTCTTTTTCTAAGAAAGAACTTTTTTCCAAAGAACTTTTTCTCCCTCTCCCCAAATACTAGAACTCAAGGGCATCCAATGAAGCTGATGGGCAGTAGGTTCAGGATGGACAAAAGGAAATACTACTTTACACAGAGAGTGCTTAAAATGTGGAATTCGCTGCCTGTGATGGTCACAGGAATAAACAGCTTTAAAAGGAGATTAGATAGATTCATGGAGGATACGTCTATCAATGGCTACTAGCCATGGTGGCTGAGGGGAACCTTCACATTCAGAGACACCAAGCCTCTGAATCCCAGAGCCAGGAGGCAACCTCGGGGGAAGGCCTCGGCCTCTATGCCCTGTTGTTGGCTGTCCAGAGGAACTGGTGGCCACTGTGTGAGACAGGATGCTGGACTAGATGGACTACTGGTCTGATCCAGCAGGGCTCTTATGTTCTTAAGGTAACAGAACTGGGAGCTGACTCCATCTTAGTTCAGGAACTGGTGCCTAACAGAAGGGAGATAGATCTGGCACTGCCAGCCCAACCAGGGCTTTGATAACTGTCCCATCTCTAACCAGCCTCCCACCCAGCTGCTGCAACTCAGTCTTAAGAGGCAGTAATATTATTGGAGTGCCACTGCTGGGCACCAGCCATTTGATCACAATTTCCAGTAGTGTGTTCCCTCTATCTCCTGCCACTGTCCTATAGCTGTGGTACTCAGTCCATGGTGCATGGAGAGTCACGTCTGAAAGAGCCACATTGACTTCCATCGGTGGCATGAGGCCTGCACCTAAGAGAGGCTTGCAGATTACTTATTCCTCCAGATGTGGCTACTTGAAGGTGGGATCCACCTGCCTACCACACGCTCTACCAGACAAGGGTCTTGTTCACTTTCCTGGCACGGGGCAGGTGCCACACTGGGGAATGGTGCTCAGAAGACCCACAAGTTTTCTAGAGCCATCAGCATCGGAAACTAAGTTTCTTTCTGGCTCCTGATAACTGATGTGGAACTGCCAATTCACACGGAACTCTGAGCCTCTGGAAGCACCCAGGCTAAAGCAACTGAAGCTGTCAGCAGAGTCAGAGAAAGAAGAGAGACTAAACAGAAGACCGAAAGGTCTGAAAAATGTCAATGTTTCCCTCTGCACCAGAAATCCTTTTCTCCTGTTATTCATTGTAAGCTGCCTTGATCCTCTATAAGAAAAGAGTGCTCTAAGCTATCTAAATAAAAGCCCTTCAGAGATGGATGGTAGGGTGGTATGGCCGTAGGCGCCCTTCAGAAATGAAAATCCTGTCTCTCTTACCAGCATATGGAGCTAATCCCCACAGTTTTAAAGACTGTATTTATAGTCTGCTTTTCCAGCTTGAAGCCTCCACAGTGGCTTACAACGCTTTAAAAACATATGCTATTCTCCCCCCCACACCTTAGTCCCCAGTGATGAGCAAATGCCATCGTCTCTTCCTCCCTGGCTGAGAGGTCTTGCCAGGCTCCTGTCTCTGATGTGGGTGTGTTGATGGAGAAGGCAGGGCATTTCCTCACCTGTATATTCATATTTGGCACAGGACAAATCGATGGTTGGCTCCAGCTCCACCTGGGCCACATCTGAAAGCCAGACCCGGAATTCGTCAAAGAGGACTTTCCTGAGAGACAAGAAGAAGAGAATGGATTTATACCCTGCCCTTCAGTACCTGAAGGAGTCTCAGAGTGGTTTACAATCCCTTTCCTTTCCCCTCCCCACAACAGACACCCTGTGAGGTAGTGGGGCTCTCTCTCGAGGACTGCCCTTGAGAGAACAGCTCTGAGAGAACTTATGACGGACCCAAGGTCACACCAGCAGCTGCATGTGGAGGAGTGGGGAATCAAACCCGGTTCTCCCAGATTAGAGTCCGCGCTCCTAACCACTACACCATCAGATGTGGGTTGTAATCCTCTGGGAAGGAAGGCTTCCTTTCCAAGCTCAAATAGGCCATTAAAAGACAGTGGGCGATTAGATGGGCATCGGATTTCACTTGGCACACCTCCCGGCCTTTTGACCGAGCCTGTCCGCACCCAATGTAAAAATAAGCAAGATGAATGTGCCATTTGCTTTAAAATCAAAAGTCAGGTGCGAAGGCTATGCTTGCTTACTCAGAAATAAACTTCACAGAGTTGAGCGGGGCTTAACTCCAATCAAGCAAGCATGAGGAGGGCTGAAGCCCAAGCTAGTTAACTTGAGAGGTGTACACAACTGGCACTGAGTATACAGACCACGGAATAAGGAGCTTCCCAGCAGCACCAGCTAGCTTACAGCCAGGGGGAAATTCACGAAACTGGCTCCCGTTCACCCGTTTTGCTTTGCCACCATGAGCCACGTTATGGGCTACTCTAGGATGTGCAGCAATCAACTTTACCTTAAAGAGGCAATGTGAGGCTCTTCTCTCTTCTGGAGGTCATCTGACTTTGCACATGCAAGAGAGAGCAGAAGCAACGGTTACGAATCTTCGGCTCTGGCCCAATATCCTGACACCACTGTCTAAACATCCATTCACTTCTTTCGTACCCCAATGGTGACCCAAAGTAGCTTCCAACGTTCAGCCCTTTTCTCTTTTATCCCCACAACAAACCTGTTAGGTAGGTTAGCCCGAGTGTGTGTGGGCCTCAAGGCAAGAGTTAAAGAAATTGTTACCTATTAAGTTTTGTTTTAGATGAAATGATGGATAAGAAGGAGGAGGATTTGGTGGGCGTGGGAGCACTGCGGGAAGCCTGAAGAAGGGGAGGGAGGGTGAAGGGAAAAAAGGGGTATATTGTGAATGATGAAATGCTTTAATGTTGGACATGTTGTTATATCCTGATAATGTTTTTTTTTTTTTTAAAGGCAAGAGGGGGGATTTGAACCTGGGTCTCCCTGGTCTTAGCCTGACACGCTACCCACTACACCACGCTGGCTCTCCTTTGCCCTACATGCCTCCTAACAAGTAGGTGGATTAATAAAAATCGGTTGAGACTGTGCAACTCTGTAAGCCAAATTTCTGCCTATGTGCTGAGCAGGAGCCAGTTTTCATCCTCAGGAATCTCTCCTCCCATTGTTTTGACAAGCAGAGGTGCTCCCAAAAAGATTCTGAACCAGCACCGGCGTCTTCTAGCTATAGCTCAAGATTCTGGTTCTGACTGATAAAGCCATCAAGGACTGCAGCTCTCCTGGAACATGACATATAACCTCCTCTTCTCACCCCTGATTATCCCTAATGGGTATGCAGTGTCCCGATCTCTATCTCATTTAAGGACAAACCTCCCCGGAGTGCCCTTTGCTGATGGCAGGCTATGCAGCCACTTGGCTGAAGATTGGCCTCCCGCCAATCAGGAAGGAAAATGTTCTCAAAAAGTTCTTTCCCTCTCCTTCTCGGCCACGAGCCACTGGCTACAAGAAGGGGGTCTCTTGGCGCCCGGGAGCCACGGGCTAAAAGAAGGTGGGCAGGAATTCAAGCCACAGCTTGTCATTTTGGATGTAACAGCTCATTGGTTGTATTCTACTCATTATTCCTCTCACTCAACCCCCCCCCCATTGCAGTCCAAAACCTTGTGTAGCTTTTTGTCCACACAAATCTCACAATCCCCAGCACAGCATTTGCAAAGGTCAAAAGGAGCTCCTCCTTCCTCTACTAGCAGAAGACAAAATTGTAGGGGCCTCTACAATTTAAAGTCTGAAAACAACTAGATCATGGTGTTCAAGGAGAAAAAGTACGGAGGGGAGAGGGCAGATAGAGGCTGGTGATCACGCCTTGGGGTAGGAATGGCCTTTGGGACCCATCCAGATCTAGGATTCTGTACTCAAGCCAAGTACCTGCTTGAATTTGTACAAGTCGTTGCACTTTTCATGGAAATCCAGGCTCAACAGCTCCTTCTGCAGTCCTTCGACAAAACTCTCATTCTGGATGAAGTCTGGGATGACACAGTGGCAGAAGGGAACAGGATCCAGCACAATGGCCTCTTGAGAAAACACAGACACAGATCCATAAAAGAGCTACTTAATAACAATGCTGCCCTTTAGTCTCAGAATGCAGCGAGAGCCAGAACATGCGCCCCCAATCCTAGGTATTAAAGAGCCGGGTGAGTGATGAAGGAAGGTCTCTCAAAGCGTACTCGGGGGCCCTTTCTTTTCCAACCTAATTACCAAAGCAAAGACAAAAATGCCAACCAGCTCTGCATGTGTGGGACTTGCTAACTTGTACAATTGTCTCCTGGGGCCAAGCTTTTAGACCACAAGTGTCAAACTTAAGGCCCACGGGCTGGAAGCGGCCCACCCATGGCTTTAATCAGGCCCGTGGCTCTTCTCTCCCCCCCCCTCCCGCTCCTGTCCTCACCCTTTGAAGCTTGAGGCGACCAAAGTTCCCAGCTGTCAAGTCCCCAGTTAATTCACTCTCCACACACACTATTGGCAGTGTAATGCTTTATTAGAGATATGATACTGTGGGTTCAAGACCTTTTGTTAGGACTGAGGAAGTGCATGGGCAATTACAAGATATAGGGAGAAGCGTAAAATTCCACATCCATACACACCACCCCTAGCCCTGCCATCACTATGGCAACACAGACAGATATATGGTGCCCTGTCTAGGCTGGCAGAGAAAGGTACTCCAAGGTCAGTCTCATGGGAAACTGACTGGGGCGCTTCTTCAGGAAAGTTACAGCTCTACTCCCATGCACTCCCAACAACATACCCGCCCCCCAGCAATTCAAAATGACAAGTGAAGATAACGAGAACCAGAGTTTAAGGAAATCGAAAGTTAGCCTGAGCAAAGTTAGTCTGAGCTTGACACCAGCTCCTTCCCTCTTGTCTTGGCCTGCTTCCACAGGGAGCTCCTCAGGGCTTGAAAATTTACAAAGAAAATACGGAATGGATTTTCCCATTAAGGTCTCTGCACCCAGATAGACTACTCTGGGACTGTATCTAGCAATGAAAGCAGTGCTCTGGGACTGGAATGACAGTCCCCAGAGTAGAATGACGGTCCCTACCAATAGAATCTGTGTTCTGGGACTGGAATGACAGGGCACAGAGTGGAATGGCAGCCCCTAAGAGTAGCAGCGGCATTCTGGGAATGGAATTCTACTCTGGGGGCCCTCATTCCAATCCCATAATGCTTGTGCTACTCCCAGGGACTGTCATTTCACTCTAGTGGCTGTCATTCCAGTCCCAGAGTAGTCTACCTGGGACCTTAATAGGAAATCCATTCTGCATTTTCTTTGCAACTTCATCTGTGCTGTGCTGCCATATTTCAATAGAGGGGAGCTCAAGTAGTTTCATTTTCCAGTGTTTGTATAGCTAAAGCTGCTTGCTGGAGTTGTCTCCTTGCAAATACAGTGTTGATGTTTTAAGCCATCTTGTCTCTGCTGAATGGACTTGAGAATGGGTACCTGTGTAAGTACTCTAACCTGGAAACCCACAGCCAAAGGGGGGCATTACACTGGAGAGCCACTGCCACTCTGAGTATACCTGGGGGGGAGGGGAGAAGCTTGCAATGCCCAGCCATTTTATATTCCTAGGCTCAGAGCATTTTATATTTTTTAGTTTATATTTTAGTTTCTGCTGTGATCCTTGTGCTTTTTCTTGATGTTTTAAAATTGCATTGCCAAATCCCATTATTCCCCCACCTTTTGATTTTAGGCAGGCATCTTTTAAGGAAGGGTGTGAAGGTTTGGGAGGTGTCAATTATCAAAGACTGTTAAATAAAGGAAATACTGCAAGAGTTTTGAGCATATTTGTATTTTAAGTAAAAAAATAATACCTTTAGTTGTGTTCATGTCTTTTATAAAGTTTATATTTCTGCTACCTAGCATTACATTTTATGACATGCATGGCCTGGCCCCACAAAGTCCCATTTATGTCAGATCCGGCCGTTGTAACAAATGAGTCCAACCCCCTTGTTTTAGACTGTTATATCTGATGAAGGGAAGTTTGACTCTTAAAAGCTCATACCCCGAAACTCTCGTTGGTCTTTAAGGTGCTACTGGACTCAAGCCTAACTGTTCCACTGCAGACCAGCACAGCTACCCTTTGAAACTATCTACATGCTTATAGTGTTCCACCCCCGGCTTTCACCCCGACATGCAGTGACCTCCTTTCTCTGGCCAACTACTGGACGAAGAAGGTTTTGAGTGGCTTTGGGATTTCCAATACATGGGGGGGGGGGGAAGCGGGGGAAAGGCTGAACAAATACTTTTAAGAAATCACAGGGCATCTGACGCAGCCTGAGAAATGGTTAACTCCACACACTGCAATAAATAAAAGTCTTTAACGAGCCACTAGCCTTCGCTTTGCAATGGTACTGGCCTAAGACAGCCTCAGTAACTGAGGACTAGAACCTTGTAGGTGGCTTGTGTTAAAAAGACGCCTGAACGATATCCCCCTTGCTCTGCCTACCGTGCTCAAGGGCTTCTTTACGGGCCCAGGAGGCGACGACTTTCTCCTGCAGGACAGGCTCCTTCAGAGCCGCAGAGAACTCGGCGCGCACCTCCCGCTTGAGACGCTTCTTCTTCCCGAGTTCCCCTGGCGAGGAGTTGAAATCTCCGCCAGCCGGGAAGGGACCCCTCTGCCTCCGACTCATCGTTCTCTCCGCGTGCACCTTCCGTTCTGGAAACTACAAGTCCCATCATGCCTCGCGGAGCAAGGGCCATCCCCAAAAGTAGTTTATTCAATCATAAAAACGGACAGAGAGGCGGGATCGGAACCACACAAGGACCTTCTATCAGCACCAGAGAGACATAAGTCTAGAGTGACACTTCCGCAGAGCGGCGTTTTAATGGTTGAATCCGTTCTGTACCCGGGGGGAGGGGGGACGAGGATTTGTTTGAGAGCGGAAGTACAGCTCAAGACTTGCGCCTGCGTGAAGCTCTTGAAATGGAGGCTAAAGGCTCGGCTAATGAGAGCCAATGAGAATGTCAAAGGCATTCTTCCAGCCACCAATGGAAGCGGGTGTTTCTCCAGCGGCTGTCCCCATTGGTTTTGGCGTTCCCACCAATCGGATGCTAGCGATGTCAACCGAGGGGCTGGCCTTTTCTTTCGCGCCTCGTCCGCGCTTTATCTCTTTCAGTTGCCTAGAGTGGGCGGAGGGCGATCTCTGTATGCGTGCCTCTCTATGGTTTCCGGAAGTGTCGCTTGGCGGTTCCGGCGTAGACTTTGGCGGGTGTGGGACGGAGCGGAGACTGAGCGCGGCCGAGGAATGCTTGTGGCCTTTTAGGCTGCTCCAGCCTCCTCCAGAATGTCCGTCGTGCCGCCCAACCGCTCCCAGACTGGCTGGCCCCGCGGCGTCAACCAGTTCGGCAACAAATATATCCAGCAAAGCAAGCCCCTCACGCTCGAGCGGACCATCAATCTGTGAGTAGAGTTCGTGGGAACTGGGGGGAGGGAGGCGGTGGCGGCGATGCAGCGCCTTCTTCCGGGTCTCTACGGTGTCCGGTCTCTTGATCGGCACGCTCGTATTGTTTAAACAGCTCGATCCAAAGGACGTGATTTTGTTTCACCTTAATAGCAGCCCTGTAAGGTAGGCTGGGCTGAGAAGTAACGAATAACCGACTTTCGGTTTTCAGCTCCTGCGTTGGGGTGTTTTGTTAATTCGGAGGTGCCGGGTTGTATGCGTGAGAGCATGCAATGGTTTGATTTATTTGAAGTATTGAATTGGTTTATTTATCAAATTTATACCCCGCCCTCCCAGCCGAGGTATTTATAGTCTGTTTTTTATGTGGTTCAAATCGATTTCAACAGCAGTTGATAAAGTCATCTAAATTAAAAAACGAAATACCAGTGCAAATTAGAATGTAAAAAATCAAGGTAGTTTTGAAAAAAGCTCTTTTTAAGAACTGTGCCTCTATACTCGTCGGTTTTTGTTTTTTTTAAAGTTGCAAGCATGTTATACTCAGTTCACTGGGTGGCCTGTTTTAAAGGGATGGTGCTGCCACAGAAAACGTCCTTGCTTAAGAGTGTATATTGAGCGCACTTCGTTATGAGAAGGTGTTTTTGTGGGCTTGTACCTGGAGATGACCCAGTATATGGTTTTCTAGGCTGCACAGAGTTTAAAGGTTAACACCAGTACCTTAAGTTCAATTTGGAAATAAGCCAGTAGCTAAGGTAGATTTTCTGTAATGTGATTGACCATGTTTGTTCAGCTGAGCGGCTGCTTTTTGCACTAATTTTTAAGTTTCTGAGTTGTCTTCATTGACAGACCCAGGGCCAAGCACATTGCTGTGTTCGAGTTTTGAAGTTGCAATAGCATGGATCAGTGTCGCCATAATCAGATCCAAGAGAAAGTGCAGCTTCTGAGCTAGATAAAACTGGGGGATAAGGTATTCCTGGAAACAAAACCTGTCTTGATTCTTCATCTTCAAAGCTGGGGCCCAGAGTGCACCCAGACTCTTGACAGAGCTGGCCAGGAACAATGGTACTTCATTCAGAGCTGATGATTCAGTCCCTCTCCTGGCATTCACTTTTCTGACCAGCATCACATCTGTCTTGTCTCGATTAAGTTTCACAGCTTTAGCCAGGATCCGTGAGCTAACTCAGCAGGTTTTGTTGGTTTACTCAGCAGGTTTTGTTGGTATTGCTGAATGTTATCTGCATATTGACGATATCCAGCTCCAAAGCTATGGATGGTGGTACTGAGCAGTCTTACATAGATACTGAACAAGTTAGGGGAGAAACAGAACCCTGAGGCACCCCACACATCAGCTTCCATGGCATTGTCTCTAGATCTCTCCTTACCCATGTACTTTGCTGGAGTGATAGGAAAAAAACGTTATCCAAGTTCTCCAAGTCAGGCAAGCCAGGTCAACCAAAAACAGGTCACAGTTATAGAGATTCTGTTTTACACTGACCTGGAAATTGTAGAACATCAGGGTATAAGGAAAGGAATTCTCTAGCGCTGGAACACATTTCTCAGCATGGGGATAAAATGAGTGATGTTATGAGCTGAGGCTTGAACATCCTGCATCACTAAAATGGCCATCCCATGGACCAGTCCGGGCTCCCTTACCCTTATAGCACCCCACCTGGTTGGCCTCTGGAGAAACACCTCATCTCCAATAGGTGTCTATATGTGCATCACTTTGTGATATGTACTTGCATGGTCATTGCTGGATTTTGTTCTTCTGTACTGGATTTTTTTCTGTGCTCAAGAGTAATTCCTGAGTGAAATTATGAACTGACTTCATGTGCTTGTGTGCATAGTGAAACAGGAAGTTTGCACTTATATGGAAGCTTTATTCACAGTATTATGTTATTCCTGACCAGTTCCAGAAGGATTAGCTGTGGCGATCTGTTATTTATTTCCATTCCCACCGACATTCTTCCTTAAGGAAAAAGCTTTAAGCTGTATGGGAAGCATTTCAAGGTGCACGCTGCATTACATTGTTGCTGCTTCATTCTGTCCTGGCCTGTTCTGAAGTATCCCCCCTTCCAGTTACTCTGAAAACTCATTGATCCCTTGAGCTGCCAGCTTGATACACTGCTGTGAAGTAGTGGTTGATCCCCTATTCTGTGGATCCATTTTAGCAGATGGCCAGGGCTTAAATAGATTTCTTTACCATGGAAATATGGGCATGGAAGCCTAGCAGGGGAAAGGTAACACTAGTGTTTCTCACCTACTGTAGTCTTGCTGCAAATTGCTCCTGACTCAGTGCTTTCCTGGACAAGTAGTGGTGGTTGCTTCAAGACAGCTGGTAGAGGTGTTGTAGGACTGTTTGCTGTCAGAAACTACAGGTGAGCCACCTTGGGTGGCATTCAAGCCTTAAAGCAAACAGTAGGGTTTGCATGAAATTCTGTTCTGATGTATTGTCTCTTTCAGGTATCCGCTCACAAATTACACCTTTGGGACCAAAGAACCCCTTTACGAGAAAGACAGTTCAGTGGCTGCTCGATTCCAACGCATGAGGGAGGAATTTGACAAGATTGGAATGCGACGGACTGTCGAAGGGGTTCTGATTGTGCACGAACACCGGCTGCCTCATGTGTTGTTGTTGCAGTTGGGCACAACTTTCTTCAAGCTGTAAGTGCACACTGCCAAAGACAGCACTGCCTGACCGTGATGATTAAAGCACTAATAAATAGCTTTGCAAAGAAGCCCAGAAGAAAAATTATTAGCTTTTGTTTCCACTAGTCTTTAGCAGTTTGTGGGGTACTAATGTGTGCCCCTCTGTCCTTGTACATTCTTATCACTAATTCACAGGCTTGCATCCAAAGACTCTTCTAAGTCTGCAGATGTTATTCAGTAGTTTGGTCCCTTTCATCCTTGATGAAGATGGACAGCTGTATTAGTCTGTCTGTAGCAGTAGAAAAGAGCAAAATTCCAGTAGCACCTTAAAGATTAGGGATGTGCACACAAAAAAATCAGTATTTTTCAAGTTCAGATATACCAAACCTGAAAAATATAGTTTTTTCCCCAATATTCCTGAATCCCAATATTGGTATGATATTCGGATTTCGGATATAATCGGGATTGCTGAATTTATTCGGCTCCATTATACCCTATGGGGACGGCCCCCATAAGTATAATGGAGAATCGATCTCCAAGCTGCACCATGCACCAGTGAACTCCAAGTGACCAGTGAGCTCATCCACTTCCGAGTGAGCTTGCCATTTCAGTAGAAGGATTTTTACGGCGTTTATTCAGGCTCAGCTATTTGGTAGCTGATCAGATTCCCTAATCTGAATTTGACTTAATAAATACTGATAAGGTATTTTTTGGGTATTCAGCTCGGTTTTTACCAAGCGTACACCCTATTAGAGACTAACAAAGTGTGTGGCAGGGTATGAGCTTTCGCAAGTCACTGCTCGCTTCTTCAGATACAGCTAAAATGTAAGTTGTATCTTGGTGAGTGGATTGTTTTCAGATGCTGAATGACAATAGCAGGTGTGACCTGGATTAGGTGTGATGTGCAGAGGAGTAGTAGACATGGAGAAATCAGCATTGTTAATAAGGCAGGGAACCTAGGTCTCAACTCAGTCCAGGAGGATGTATTGTCTTCATTATCCGTTGCAATTCAACAGTCTCTCTTTCTCATTTCCATTTGCAATTTCTTTGTAAAATTAATTATGGAAGCATCCCTACAACATGTATTTTATTGTGGATGTATATTCAACAGGCCTGGTGGTGAGCTTAATCCAGGAGAAGATGAAGTAGAAGGTCTCAAACGTTTAATGACAGAGGTAAGAGAACTTTTATCTGGATTTTTATCTTGAGGATCTGGGTGCATTATAATAAAACACCATTTATGATTGCATTCACATGGAAACAGCTGAATGATGCTGAATACATCTGTAAGGCTACCTGAGGAGTTAAAACACCGTGCCACTGCTTTAGTGTAACAGATAATGTGATCAAACAGTAGGCAAAAAACCCCAAAACACCTTGAGCTTCTTTTTAAATCAGTTAATAGATTTTTAATTACTTTGACCTCTGTTAGCATCTCTCTATTGATTACTGATCATTTTGCTATAATTTCATTATGCTGATGGGGCTTTGGTAATATTCAGAACCATTCCACACAACCCAGCTCTGATCTCCTTTTTGATTTTAGCGGACACGTTAACAGTACTCCTCACCCTTCCTCCACCAGGGAAAAACAGCATGTGGCAAATTTTTGGCAGGGCTAATATGATATTTTGCTTTAGTTTTTAATAATGCAAGGAGGCAGAGAAATGTTACAGTCCTGTGCTTTTTGTGTGTGGCTGTATTGTTAAAATGCTTAATGAAATCTGAGCCTCATACTGTATATAGAAGTGGGAGGTGCCGAAGTAATCACAGTTCATTCAGTGTTCTAGTCCATATTTTTTTTCTTAGTCTGACTGGTAACCACGAGCATAGCTTGGGTATGTAGGAACCTTGCTTTGAATACCCAGGCACAAAGGGAAACCTTGCAGGGTAGAGTTTGAGTATGGATAAAAGTCCTAATTAGCCAAAGGTGGTTCAGTAAGAGATGTTGCTTCTACATATATAGTATGACCAACGTGACTAATTTGGGATGTTCTGTTGTGCTGAAACAGCATGTGAAGGCTTCTGTTGCATCTGTGTTTTGACAGATACTGGGCCGTCAAGATGGAGTGCAGCAAGACTGGGTCATTGATGACTGTATCGGTAACTGGTGGCGGCCGAATTTTGAGCCTCCACAGGTAAGAACTGAAGCCACTAGTAAAAATTCTGCTTTCTTGTTTTACTTCTAGAAGACACATCCAGCACTCTTGGGGCAGGTTTGCTAATTCTACCCTGTCTCTCTGTATGCAAATTTCATTAAAAATTCTGTCCCTGTCCACAAGACAGAAGAGCTTAGGCTCTGGTGAGCCTCCAGGGAAGAGACGTCCTGAGCTGCAGAACAAGGCCGAAGGAACAGTATTTTAACTCTGTGGTTTCCTTGAATTAGAATTGCATGGATGACAATGACGGTATATTTTTGGTTTAATTTTGGAGTCATTCCATAGCCGGTTGGGATTGCAGGTTATATCTGTGTGGTATATGGGGAGTCAAATGGTTTCCTTCTCAGGGAAATTTTCTCCAGTAACAATGCATACCATTCCAGAGAGCTCTCTGACACTCTGGAGTTGCAGTTGGGGGGGAATGCAGGTTGAAGGGAGATTCAGAGAAGCCCTAATCTGGGTAAAGCCATTTAGATCTTCTCCCTTCTTTTACCACAAATTGTAACTTTTTCACCTATGCCTTATGGCCATGATCCAAAAAGCTGATGTGCATTCTTTGATTAAATTCACATTTCAATAAGAGACCATTTCTTGTATTCAGATGTTACAGCTAAAAATGGCATTAACTATAATTTTCAGTGATCCTTTCTGGAATGTTTTTGGAATCTACTTTCAGAAGTTTAGACTTGGGACATTTTGCTGAATTTGCTTTCATAACACAGGTTACATCTAGTTATAAAAACACAAGGTCCATGATATTCAAAAGGGCTTTTCATGACTTGAAAAATGTACTTCCTTCCCTTCTAGCTTTAAAATTTTGTAACATCTAGCCTGATGAAGCGTTCTAGTGAGTTTAAAAGTTCACACAACATTTTATGTCTGTTTGGTTTGCCATAGTAAAAGGGTGCCTTGTCCAGGCTAGCCCAATCTTGAGATCTAAGCAGGGTCAGCCCTGGTTAGTACGTGGGTGGGAGACCACCAAGGAAGTCCAGGCTTGCTACGCAGAGGCAGGCAATGGCCAAGCCACCTCTGAACATACCTTGCCTTGAAAACCCTATGGAGTCCCTGTTATTTGGCTGCAACTTGTAAATTCAGGACAGTTTGCTCTCCCCTTCCCCATTTCATCCTCACCATGGACCAGTGATGCAGGTCAGGCTGAGAGTCAGACCTGCTCATGGTCATATAGCAAACTTCAGAGCTGAGCAGGTTTTCCCTACCCAAATTTGATACCCTAACCATTATTTAAAAGCCCTCACCTGGACAACCCAGACTAGCTCAATCTTGCTGGATCTGCAATGCTTTACCTATGGAGTTGCAGACACCCAGCTTCCTCGCACTAACTGGACAGACATCAAATAATATATGCAGCCTGAATAGCCTGAACTAGCCCAAGCTCATTAGAGACTGGAAGCTAAACAGGGTCAGTATTTGGTTAGTATTTGTATGGGAGACCACGAAGAAAGCCCAGGGTTGCTATGTAGAGGCAGGCAATGGCAAATCACCTCTGCTTGCCATGAAAACTCTAGGGGGTCCCTATTAGTTGGCTGCGATCTGATGGAGTTTTCTAAAAGGGATATTGCACAGATTTTGTTGCCATTTTTGGTTTCGTGCACGTAGTTATGAGTACGATCACACTTGATGTATTCTGAACTCTAGATGTATTCACACATTTTCCCATCACTAGAATCAAAGACTATGTTGTAATGTGCCTTTTTGCATTGCCGGGCTGGTGGAGATGAATCTGCATACTTACAGCATATGACACTGAGCAAACAGGTGTATGAAAGCTTCAATTAATTACATTTCTTTTTTGTCTTCCACAGTATCCATATATTCCGGCTCATATTACGAAACCAAAAGAGCACAAGAAGCTCTTCTTGGTTCAGCTTCAAGAAAAGGGTAGGCTTTCTCTTGTGGGCTTTCATGCACATTTTGTGTGTCTTGCAGAGAAGGATACAGGAGTCTGTTCTTAGATTGTAACCTGTACCATCATGCACAATTATACTGATGTTTGTATCCCATGGTTTCCTCCCAAGAGCCCAAGGCAGTGTTGTACGCTTTACTCCATTGCAGTGAGCTATGTGGAAGCGCAGTGGCTTTGCCTACCTGATGTGTTCACCAATGCTGATACTGAAGCATACGAAGAGTGCCCACTAGTCTCATTATTTAGACTCGCTGCAGTCTGGCTGCGTATTCATGTTTATTTTTATTTATTATTAAATTTATACCCCGCCCTCCCCAGAGCAGGCTCAGGGCGGCTAACAGAAGAGGCACGTATGCCAAGGTTAAAACAGTTAAAAACAGAATAAAACAACCTTAAACAATACAATAAAGTGTGAGTGCTCTGGTTGTTACAAATCCATTAATCACAAGATGGGGTTCTGGAAGGATAGACCCAGAACAACAAGAGTTCCACACAGCACTGCCGTCATCTCTTCATCCCAGGGCCATTTCATTCCCCCCAATGATACCCGCTCTACTAGATAATAGTGGTGCAGTGATGGTATAATAGTGGAACGGTTATGGTATAATGGGGGTAGTGGCTCCTACTCAAAAGCCTGGCGGAATAGCTCCATCTTGTAGGTCCTGCGGAACTCCGCAAGGTCCCGCAGTCAAAAGCCTGGCGGAATAGCTCCATCTTGTAGGCCCTGCGGAACTCCGCAAGGTCCCGCAGGGCCCAAGTCTCTTCCGGGAGCTCATTCCACCAGATAGGAGCCGCCACCGAAAAGGCCCTGGCCCTGGTTGCAGCCAGTTTAACATCTTTGGGGCCCGGAGGTGCTGAGTCCCCGACCGTTAGTGCCCTTGGGGGAACATATGGGGAAAGGCAGTCCCTCAGGTCATGTAGGGCTTTAAAGGTAAGAACCAGCACTTTGAAGCGAACCCGGTACGTTATAGGCAGCCAGTGCAGTGGTTTGAGCGCAGGCTTGATATGGTCCCGTCTAGAGACACCCATCAATAGCCTGGATGCAGCATTCTGCACTAGGTGCAGCTTCCGGATTTGCGACAAAGGCAGCCCCATGTAGAGAGCGTTACAGTAGTCTAATCTTGAGGTGACTGTCGCATGGATCACTGTAGCCAGGTCATCGCGGTCAAGGAAAGGAACCAACTGCTGAGCTAGTCGAAGATGGTAAAAAGCCGACTTGGGTTTCCATCGTTGAGGAGTCCAGGAGCACACCCAGACTCCTAACCTCCGACGCTGGGGGGACCTCACGGACTAGGGGGTGGGGGGGAGAAGTGGCTATCTTCATTTGGGAGGCTTACTCCTTCAGGGCACTCCTGTCTGTGGAGATTACGGGTGTGGAATGTGTTGGCTTGATGCTGGAGGCTGAGGAGAGCTTGGCGATCTGGCTGGTCTAACGCACCGGCTAGTAGTCTGCCATCCCTGCTGGAGGCCATATCAGGCTGGGCGTTGGAGCACCCTAGACTGATTGTCCTGGGTGACTTCAACGTCCATGCTGAGGACGCGGTCTCCAGCCGGGCTATAGACCTAGTGTCGTCCATGGCAGCACTGGGGCTCTCTCAACTTGTATCGGCCCCTATGCATCGGGCGGCTCATATGCTCGATTTGATCACTACAGAAGTAGTGCCATGGTCAGACCACCATGCCCTGAAGGCCCTTCTGAAGGTGCCACCCCGACCCTGTTTAGGCGGTGAGCAGATTTTTGCTCGCCCACGGAGCCAGATGGCCCTGCGGGATCCAAGGCCCCCTGGCGGCTCATTGGATGAGCTGGTGGAGGAGTGGCATGGCCGGCTCTCCACAGCCATCAACCAGATTGCTCCCAGGTGCCCTCTCTGCACTTGCTCTAGGCGGGCACCCTGGTATACCCAGGAGTTGTGGCAGCTGAAGCGAGAACTGAGACGGTTAGAGAGACAGTGGCGCCGTGTTCGCGACAAGGCGTCAAGAGCATCCTATAGGACGTTTATGAGATCCTATGAGATGGCAGTCAAGGCCGCAAAGAGAGATCTCTATGCGATCTCTCCGCTGCAACCTCCCCGCCACAATTGAAACAGTGAGTGAACTTGAGGCCCCTTGCGCATCTTCGGTTCTGGTTTTAGAGTGTTTTAGCCTACTCAGCCTGGAGGAAGTTGACAGATTGCTCGTATTGGTGCGTCCAACCACGTGTGACCTTGATCCGTGCCCCTCCTGGCTCATTAAAGCGGGCCACGAGGGATTCCGAGGTGCCCTGAGGGAGATTATTAACAAGTCCCTCTTGGAGGGACGGTTCCCCAGAGCACTCAAGAAAGCGATGGTCCGCCCTCTCTTGAAAAAAACCATCCTTGGACCTGGCCAAATTGGCCAACTACTGACCGGTGTCCAATTAGCCCTATTTGGGCAAACTTATTGAGAGGGTGGTGGTGTTACAGTTACAGGGCTATCTGGAGCATGCTTCTGTCTTAGGTCCCTTCCAGTCCAGCTTCCACCCAGGTCACAGGACTGAGACAGTGCTGGTTGCCCTGACTGACGACCTCCGAAGGCATCTGGATCGAGGTGGTGTGGTGGCACTGCTGTTGTTAGATCTGTCCACTGCGTTTGACACGGTTGACCACCAGTTGCTGACCCACCGCCTCGCCATCATGGGGATTCAGGGGCTTGCCCTTCAGTGGTTTGCCTCGTTTCTCCAACGTCGGGGACAAAGGGGATCAGTCGTCCCGGAGGCATCCCCTTGACTGTGGGGTGCCTCAGGGGGCAGTGCTGTCCCCAATGTTGTTTAACATCTACATGCGCTCCCTTGCCCAGAGTTGTGGGCTTGGGTGTCACCAATATGCAGATGACACCCAGCTCTATCTGATGTTGGGCGGCCAGTCGAACTCTGCCCCAGATGACCTTCATTGGTCGCTGCAGGCTGTGGCTGTTTGGCTCAGGCTGAGCCAGCTGAAACTAAACCCGGTGAAGATGGAGGTCCTGGGCCTGAGTTGGGTCAGTTCAGGGTTGGGGCTCCCCCTCCTCACGTTCGATGGGGCGCCTTTGGTGCCAGCGTCGGAGGTTAGGAGTCTGGGTGTGCTCCTGGACTCCTCTTTAACGATGGAAGCCCAGGTGGCCTTTTACCATCTTTGATTTTGGGTTCAAGGAACTTGCTGCTTTTAAAGTTCAGGATGGGCCTAGGGGCCCAGTCCAGCGAGTTACGTACGTGTCAGTATTTTTGCCTTCAGTGGGGGAGTTTAAGTATATGCTTAAACTTGTCTTATCAACTTCAGTGGGGGTTAAAAATGGTTGGCTTTGGCCTAATGGTGCTCTGTTTCTGTGATAATGCTCTGAAGTGCTTGCAATTACTGTGTGGTGTGTTTGGGAATTAAGTGGGAAGCCCTTTCACTAAGAGGCTTAGCACCTCTCTCTACCTTCTGAATAAAACCACGTTGCATATGACACAATGTTCTATTTACCTGAAAAATAAACTCTGCTGTTCTGTCCTTTCTTGGAGCAGACTGGTTTCTAATTAGTGTTCACTTGTGTGTTCCAGCTTTGTTTGCGGTCCCCAAAAATTACAAACTGGTAGCTGCTCCCTTGTTTGAGCTTTATGACAATGCACCAGGCTATGGACCCATCATCTCCAGCCTTCCCCAACTTTTGAGCAGGTGGGTTTGAGTGTGTTCTGGTTTCATTATACCATCTGGAGAAAGAGAAGACGCTTTTATCAACCTCCTTTACTTGGCTTTATAAGAGACTGACTGAGTGATTTGAGGATTGGGATTCATATGGGTCCACGTCTACACATCACTCAGCAGTGCCCTCTGCAAGAACCCTTTCTCCCGTATGAAGTTGACTTGTGTGTGAAGTTTATTAGCCGAGGCCCTGTTCTGGATGCCTCCACCATCAGAAAGTAGATGGGTGGCTTAGCCCCTATCAAGGCGGACATGCCTTTTTGACTGTTACTCCTCCCTTTTCCCCTTGAGAATTTAGACTTGAAAGATTCATGGTGGAATTCACACCAAGTCCCTCTGCCTTGCCCCCCCCCCCCCCCATCTCCCCCCTTTTTCTGGTATAATTTTTCTTCACAGAGCTATCTGAAGAAGTGAGCGGTGACTTATGAAAGCTCATATTGAAATAAAAGTTAGACTAAGATGCCACTGGACTTCTGTTATTTTGGAACATGCACACAGTTTTGTCCCATCTGATGGATCCATTATGACAACTGATTTCTTTATCTTTTTTTTTTTTTTGCAGGTTCAATTTTATTTACAACTAAATTTCCTTATACCTTAAGTGTGCGGCAGAAGCTGTCTCTGTGAGAACAGTTTCAAAATGTAGAAGGACACGTGACGCAAGAATTTTTTTAATTTCTTTTCCTCTCTGTCCCCTTCTTTTGCTCCCCAAATTTCTACCATCTGAATAGGAAAGTGGAATCTTGACTGTTTAGATAGTGGAATGATAAGTGTAGTTGCGTTTTAATCACCTATGTTGTAATAGTCACCTGATTTTTTTTAAAAAAAACATTAAACAAAAAATGTGTTACATTTCGTTTCACTTGGTGTTTCTGTTCTTCCAAAGAGACTAGTGGAGGGGCCTATGCTGTTGGGTGGCTGGTACCATAGCATCGTGGGTGAGGCTCAAAGGATACAGTTGTCAGCCATTTGAATATCGTTCAGAAAAGCAGCATGCCTCACACTGATAGCAAGGTCCTTGCTATATATGAAATGACTGTGTGCAGGGAGCTGAGCATGCAGCAGGGTTTGAACCTGGGACTCTGAAGGATTGGTAGGTGGAGGTTCAACTTGCATATTTTCTCTTGGCCCCCTTCAAAGGGACAGCAGCCAGGCAGCCTTTGAACAACAATAGAACAGGCAGCTCATGATGTCTATTAAAATGTTCCAGATAAGTCTCAGATGCCTGTCAAAACCTTCCTGATTTAGCTTTCTGAATGGTGCAAGCAGACTGCGCTGCTGCATCTGGTTACAGGTTGTCTATGCATGTATCTCCCCCTCCCTCAGCTGGAACCAGACGTGACACTGACAGTCATATTCAGATCTATTGTGAATTCTGAATCCTGTCCAATGTATTGGGTATTGCTGATTAGTACCAAACCAGCTGTTCTGCGAGCCATTGTTCTATTGCACCCTTGCGGTTCCCTGGTCATAGGCATGGCAATATTAGAAGAATATCCTCCCCTGCTAGCAGGCATGGTAGATAAGAAGCAGACAAAGGGTTTATGCACAAAATGGGACTTGTTGCTGATGTCTGAGTAACTAGGGCTTGTTGCCCAAATTGCTGTTCATCACAACATGTGAAAGCATTGAAGGTCAGAACTTGGGGGCTGGGCAGGAGGCAAAGGTGAATGCCAGGGAAGACTTTCAGGGAAAGCTTCCAGGGCCATTCATGTTTCCAAGTTGCAAAGAAGATGTATTACAATTGATCGGGAAAGTCAGTTTCTCTTACAAAATTTCATATATGTTGAATATCTGTCAAGTGATCTTTTATACTTTGAATACCCCTAATACTACTGAACTATATGTGCGGTTAATTTAAGCCAGTTAGCTTCACTTCCAGCAGCTTTCTGTGCAAGAATGTTTATTTGCAGTTCAGATCTTGCTGCTGTGTCAAGACAATAACCACTTTCAGCTTTAACAAATGAAGTGACTTCCATTTCCGAGTACCAGTTGTAACTTTTGGTGTCTTCTCCCCAGTATACTTCTGAATAACACTTTATTTCAGGTTCAATTCTAAATCATGGTTTGGTTTGTCTACATGATGTGGAAGATTAAGTTACTCTTCTGATTTCTCTGTAAAAGAGGAAACCTAGCTTGCTACTTCCCAGATTACAGTTTTGACTGTGCAACAGGCAATTAGAAAGGGGGTTGATTTAATAAGAAGGTTGAATGTTCTGAGGCAACCAGGTGAGCTATGAATTACTTTATCACATAACTTGTTAGCATTTTGAGGTTTATGGGTGGCAGCTATCTATCATTAATCATCATCTGAAAATATCTCTCATCCTGGTTTGGAATTTGTCTTGCCACAAATGATGGAGCTGCTCGTAGACCAAGATAACCTATTAAAAAATCCCATTTCCCAGGAACAGACAGTTTAAAAGCTCCATGAGGCTCTAGAAACTTTACTGGGCAACTCTAAACATACTTGAACATCTACAAAATCCCTTGAGACTGACCGTCTTCATTGTTCACATAATTGAAGTTACTTAACCTTTCAATGAGCATTTTGTAATTTTATCAACATGGACCGTGCTGGAATGATCCCATAAATTGTGAGATTACAAAAATTCTTCCTTGTACATTCATCTCTCAGCTTTCACTCACTGAAGGTAAGTGTCATGTTAAGTGAATAAGGTGCCATAAAAATAATCCTTCAGGCTGTTGTGGAAATTGAAATTAAATCCATCGAAGACCTGTACCTGGGTTGAGGGGGCACGGATGTGGACACCAGGCTGCCCACTCTGGAAGGGGCATCTTTGGTGCCAGTGAGGAGCGTGGAAGTAACACTGGATGCCTCTCTGCCCATGGAGGCCCAGGTTGCTGCAGTTGCCAGATCTGCATTCATCCATCTTAGGCAGATCAGTTTACTGAAGCCCTACCTCTCCCCCCAAGACCTAGCTACGGTGATCCATGCAATGGTCACTTCCAGGCTTGATTACTGCTATTTGCTGTACGCAGGCTTACCCCTGAGACTGATCCGGAAATTACAGCTGCTACAAAATGCAGTGGCGCGCCTGCTGATGTCGACGCCTGTGTGGGCTCAGATTCGGCATGTGCTTTGCCAGCTGCACTGGTTACCAATTGAGTACCGGATCCATTTCAAGGTGTTGCTATTAACCTTCAAAGCCTTATACAGCCTGGGACCAACATAACTAAGGGACCACCTCTTCCTGTATACGCCTCGAAGAGCTTTACGCTCCAATAATCAACATCTGGTGGTCCCTTGGCCAGGGCCTTTTCTGCTCTGGCCCCCATTGAGATCAGGGCCCTGCGTGCTCTTATGCAAATCCGCACATCAGGGCCCTGCGTGATCTTATGCAAATCCGCACGGCTTGCAAGATGGAGCTGTTCTGCCAGGCTTTTGGTTAAGACAGCGGGCGCCCACACATGGCCTCCCCGAGGTTGCTGTCTCCCACCTACTGGCCATCCATCCATCGGTAACTGGCCATTTCCATCTGTATTAATGGGTCGGAACTTTCACCAGTAGCCATAACCACTGATCTTAAATGCTTATGTTGTGTTTTTAAACTTTATTGTAACTGTTGAAATATGATGTGACCCACCCTGAGCCCACTCCCGGGATGGGCGGGATACAAATACAAAAAATAAATAAATTGCTAGGAAGAGGCCAGGACAAGTTGATGGCCACAGGAATAAACAGCTTTAAAAGGGGATTAGATAGATTTATGGAGGATATGTCTATCAATGGCTATTAACCATGCTGGCTGAGGGGGGGAAACCGCATTCAGAGGCACTAATCCTCTGAATCCCAGAGCCAGGAGGCAACATCAGGGAAAGGCCTCAGCCTCTATGCCACTGTGTGTGAGACAAAAATCTGCACTAGATGGACCATTGGTCTGATCTAGCAGGGCTCTTATGATATTGTAAAAGGTGGATAAAAGATTAAAGGTGGTTTGCTTCACTGTGTGGTTTGCTTCACTGTGCACCTAGACCCTCCCTCCAAACAACTTGCTTGTGTTTGCCATGAATTGGTAATGATGTATTCTGTATTATTTATGTTTTTATTCCGTATTGTTGTGTTTGTTGTTGGAAGCCACCCTGAGCCTGCTTTGCGGGGAGGGCGGGGTATAAATTTGACTCTAAACAAATAACTGTAATATTTCTCTGAGCCTTGGTTGGAGGCAGTTAATCCTAAAATGACCAGTGTGTGGCCAGCAAATGGCTGTCTTGAGGATAAAATGGAAAGGAAAGTTATGGTTAGTTTTAAAAGAAATGGGTGTGGCCACAGTGGATTGTTCTGATGGGCAACCTGTTAGGACAGAATATGGAGAAACAGAATGGTTCCCAACTGGCAAAAGTGCCAGAGAAGGATATATTTATCCTCCCATCTCTTAATCTACATGCAGAACATATCAGATGAAAGTGGAATGATAACTGTAGGAAGGAACATTAACAATTTGACATTAATCATTTGAGATATTCAGATGACACCACATTACTGGCAGAAAGGAGTGAAGACTTGAAATGACTCCAGGTGAAAATTAAAGCAGAATATGCCAGATTAAGGCTATTGTACTTCAGTCGCATTATGACAAGACTCATTGGAAAAGACAATAATGCTAGGAAAAGGTGAAGGCAGCAGGAAAAGAGGGAGACCCAACATGAGATGGACTGACTCAATAAAGATCCTCAGTTTGCAAGACCTGAACATAGCTGTTATGGAGATCACTAATTCATAAGGTTGCCATAAGTCAGAAGTGACTTGACACTCCATCTCAGCAGGTTTACAGTGAAAGGGCAAATACTGCCCCCACTCACAGAGGAAGGCTGGAGCTCCTCCTCTGCTGCGGTCTTAGTCTGAATTGGGCCCCTGGTGTGCTGCAGAAGTTTCCCACAGGAAACCTGCGACTGCTCTGACTGCAAGTCCTAGCAGCTGCTGTGAGTTAAATATAATGGTCTAGCCCTATATGGCCAGGGTCCGACATACCTGAGGGCCACATTTCCCCATATATACCCCAGAGAACACTGAGTTCGGGGTCTCAGAACCGACTGGCCCTATCGGGCCTTAAGGATGCCAGGCTCGCCACTACTAGGGCCAGGGCCTTTTCTGTGGCGGCTCCACACTGGTAGAATGGGCTCCCGGAGGAGATCAGGGCCCTGCGGGACCTTATACAGTTCCACAGAGCCTGCAAGACGGAGCTCTTCCACCAGGCTTTCAACTAGGAGCTGCCCCCACTGCTACCAACGAGCTGGCCCGTAGTGCTAACATCTGGCTGCTACCACTGTGCTCAGGAAGATCACTGAGTGGCATCTGTCTGGTTGTATGGTATTCCAGCATGCTATCCTATGTATTTAATGTATTAGCACTAGCACTTTATGAGATTCTTGTTTTTTGTTATTGCATTTTAAACTGTTTTTATGTGAATGAATGGTCATTTATAGACCAATTATGTAAGCTGCCCTGAGCCAGCTTGCGGGGAGGGTGGGGTATAAATAAAATTTAAAAATTAATAAATAGTTCAGCTTACTGTGAAAGACTGTTGTGAGGATAAATGGGGCAGAAACTGAATAAGTGGGGTGTGGAGGCTAGTGATGGTCTAGGGCTAGGGTTGCCAAGTCTACTTACCTTGGTGGCGGGGGAACCTCGCCGGGCTCTGGGAGCTCTCCGAAGATGTGTGTGTGCGCGCCGCCAGCACATCACAGGAAGTGATGCGTTAACGTCGCTCATGTTGGGGGCGTGGCCCCAATCGTCGGAGGGAAAACCCCTCCAATGATTGGAGCTATGCCCCCAACGTGAGCGATGTGGTTGCGTCACCTCTGGTGACGCAACCACGCTGTGCCTTGAGGGGCGGAGTTCCCCCCAGGGCCCGATTCCGCGGCGGCAGAAATTGGGCCTCCAAAGCAGGGGTTTACCCGCCCCCACTTGGCAGCCCTATCTCGGGCCCAGGTCCAAATCTCTACTCTGCTGCAGAAGCTTGGCCCAGTCACACACTCCCCTCTTATTATACTTAACAGGCTCGTTTTGAAATTAAAATGGAGGAAAGAAATGGATGTGAGCTGCTTTGAGTTCCCAGTGGGGAGATGGTAGGATATTAACGAATAAATAACATGGTCTTTGGCTTCCTGAAATAAAAATGCTGGAGTCAGTTGCTGGGAGAGGTTAAAGTGTCACATCCGGGGCCTCAGGTTCAAATCCCTGCTCTGCCATAGAAGCCCATTGATGACCTATGGGCCAATCACTCTACTGACCTAACCCACCTCATAGGCTGAGAAAACGAGAATGATGTTCTGGGTCCAGGGGGTGGGGAGACAGAAAAGCATGGTGTTAATGTATAAATGACACTTGAACCACAATTTGATTATTTAGGCAGTGGCGCTTTCTGTTCTTTCCTTGTGTTATTGCAACCCAGTCACACACCCTTCGCTAAAGTCAATGCTTCCAAACCTTTTTTTTGTATGGTGACCCATCAGTCCAAAGCTACTTGGTGTGATGACCCTTTTGGGGGAGAAAACATGGCCAAGTTAATAAAACTGCAAAAGCTTGAGTTCCACAGTCGGGAAACAGGGACTTAAACACCTCGTAGGGTTGTTGTGGAAATAAAGGAAAAACGATGCAAGCTGTTTTGGGGGAGAGAAGCGGGACATCAGTTAAAGAAAGAAACGACTCTCTTTCTTACCCCTCGGGCCGGGCCACCACCCCCTGTATTGGGGGCAGTGGCCGGGCCTGCCCCTCAGTCACCCGCCGCCGCCGCCTCAGTGCTGCCCCTGCCGGCGGGCTCCTGAGGGAGGCGCTCATTCGCTAACCCAGCCCCGAGGCAGGCGAGCGGACGGACGGCGCGACACTCTCGGCGACTTACGTCTGCGTTGGGTCGGAGTAGGCCTCGCTCCGCGCTAGGCCGTTGCCGGGCGACTCCTCGGAGGAGCCTTAGGGCCGCTCCAGACGGAGCAGCAGGGCCGGCGCCGCCATGCCGCTGCTCTTTCTGGAGCGCTTCCCTTGGCCCAGCCTGCGCACTTACACGGCTCTCAGTGCTCTGGCGCTGGCCGGCACCGTCCTCAGCGCCTACCGCGCCCTCAGCCAGGCCTCCGAAGAGCGT